GGTGTAAAATTAATACTTATAATAAATAAAATAAAAGGCCCTTAATTTCACTGTATTGAACTATATAACACCTGGAGTAGAATATTAATAGAATATGTTGAGAAAAATGTTGCTTCCATTAGATTTGTTTACAGTCATTTATTCGAGGGAAAAATAAACACCTCGGGGCGTTTATTCGAATAAGCCTAATAGTAATAGTTTAGAACACCTCTCTCCCAATTTTATCAACCTCTTCAGTAATAGGCCTATATGCGGATAAAGTGGTGTTCTGGATATAGGATGGGAGCACCCACCACATGGTGTTCATAAATCATCCACATATTTGGAAACTTTGTAGCAATACCGTTGCCCGAAAATATGGGTCTATCAGGGTGACCTGAGAGGCCAGGACGGAACTGGAACCACCTTGATAAGGGGACCAATTTTTTGAGTCGATAAAGCCTTTTTTAACCATCTTTTGATCAGATTTTTCCACTTCCTTCCAAATTGTTGGAGTGGGGTCCTCTGTTTAAATTACGATAGTGAATGTCCTGAAGAACTGCTCTTTATCACCATTATAGCGACTGTGGCAGAGGCTTTATCCCCTGATTTGATACTATAGTAATATGCTGACGCAAATTGTGATGACCCTAATAGAAGGCCAAAAAAATTGTTTGTTTGCCATCCTCCACCTGCCCCTAACTCACTGTAAAAAATAGGGGCGGAAAAACAAAAAAACTTTAAAAAGGGGGTTTTTTTAGCTTTTTCTTAACAAATAACAAAAAATGTGAGTGAATTTATCTTTATTTTTTTCAAATTAGTCTAAAGTTGTCGTCTGATGTAAGATATTGCCATTCTAGGCCTCTGTATTTTTATTCCTTTTGATGAGTATTAAAAAAACAATTTTTTTTCTACCCGCCCCTATTTATCATTTAAAAAAAGTAGGGCAAACAAACAATTTATTTTATTTGGCCTAATAATAATAATAATAATAATAATAATAATAATAATAATATAAACTTCTGATTTCTTTAGTAGCTTTTCTAGTTTCCTAAATTCAGACTTGCTAACTTCACTGTTGCAGCTTAAATCATGAATAATAGATCCAAAAGATTAAAGCGAAATCAAGATGAACACACATTTTAACGAAATAAACCATTTATTCACAAACATGTTGCCCCTGTTTCCTAGGCGTCATCAGTGCTAACTAAAAACAATTACAAAACAAAATATTGCTTATATACAGCCTGAATCAGCTCAGGTGTCGTGACAAATAGACTATGTGTCGTTTGTTGCCACGTCGTAGAAAAAAAAAACTGTAATAATAATAAATACTTGTATCGCTTAATATTTTTAATGTATTTGATATAAAAAAAATATAGCATGAAATAATAATAAAAAGATAGTAATACAAAAAGATAATTTATATATTGTATCATCTGTTAGACTGTAGTTTGTTCATTGCAATACAGATAATGAATGGAAACATTTACGGCAGTGTAAACGTTGGAATGAATCTTTCATGACCAATGAAAATTGTTGTAGGTCATATAAATTAAGGTACTGCATGCAAATTAATACGAGAATGAAATACAAAGATATCGTCTTAAATTTGTGGCAAAAAATTTCAAAATAAATTTATCATGAACTTTCAGCGTTGGTAAATTGTTGTGTTGCCGCCCTCTTCAGATGATCACCCTAGCAGTTTAGACGTTTGTACGAGGATAGAATTTGCAGTGTCATCTCAATGTAAACGTGTTTCATATGAATCACGGCAGTGAATATAAATAATTCTTTGAACTCACGACAGAGGTTTCACTGACTTTATTTTCAATATAATCATGATGAAATTTAATCCTTGCAATGGGACCTAAGATTATGACATCATTTTCAAAATATAGCAATCGTACGTTGGATTGTTAAATTCAAAAAATCAACGAAACCAAATAAAAATAAATAATAATAATAATAATAATAAAAAAAATGTGTGTTTTTGTGAGAGAAGGGGAGTACGTGGGGTTACGTAGTGTTAGTTGTGTAGTTGCTCCTCTGAATTGCAGTGTAGGTCTACGCCTAATTGCGTTTTGCTATACAGTGGCCGTGCAAATACTTGCCAAGTCTCCGGTAATTGTAGGCAATTTAAACTTGTTAAAAGTTAATACTCGATAATCGGAATCATAGTGATATAGAAAAACAGCGTTTAGTGCTCCTGTTGAGTCATTAACACTTTTGACCTATGTACATATTACAACCACACTGTTAATTTTGGTTGAATTTAAAATACATTATGTTTAATTGCATGGCAGAGGGACTTTAGCCCACCGGGCAGACAGATCACAGCTGTCGGCCACGATTTGTGGACCAAAAAGAATTCAAAAAATATGTCTCAAATTATCTTGGTACAAAATAACCCATTTTTAGGCACCAGTAGTTTTGTCCCTGGATCTTCTCTAGGACTTCGCCCCTCACTCCGTCTCTGAACTCCCGGTACCGTGTTTTTGAATAAACGTCCCGGGTCGTTTCATTGTTGATTTGTGAGTGTGCATTTATTCGAGGACGATAAACGCCCTTAATTTCACTGTAAATGTGGAATTGCAACACGGAATTACCGTCAAAATGTGTTAATACCTGATCATATTAGACAAAAATGTAATTCTGTTGAATGTGTTGAGAATGATGTTGCTTCCATTAGATTTTATTTAGGGGGCGTTAATTCGAGGAAAAAAAAATAAAATTGTAATTTCATAATAGATTGGTTGATAGATTAATTGATTGAATGATTGATTGAAAATATCATCAGAAGTATATCGCTTGTAACCGAATGGCAGGAACCACTAAGATCATAACGTCCATTCCATAAAAGAAAAGATATGAAAATTTCACATAGGCCTACACAGATAAAATACTGTAGGCCTAATGTTTATTATTGTAGTAACCATGTTATATATAGGTTCCTGTCCGTGATATTTGGAGGAAAATGATGATGATGAATTTTTTTTTCGTGAACGGTTGCTGTTTCCGTTGTTAATAATTGTTGAGAGAAAAAAAATTAAACAAACATAAACCCCCATTGCTCCATCAGAATGTTGTTCATTTTAGAGGGCGCTGTTGATTTTGCTTTTGCGCGACAGTTAAAAATTAGCACAGTATCCAGGAGCCTATTCAGGAGTGAGCTCGCGAAGGTCGGAGAGGAGTTTTACATCAGCAACTAATGAGTATGTATTTGTAATATTTTGTTTTTTGAATTATGTGATCTAAAATGGACTGATTATTACTTTGTGCATATGTTTTATTTCAAGTGGGGCAAGCTCTCAAGAAAAATAAGAAGAAGAAGAAGGCCTCAGATGAGGAGAATGGCGACAGTGAGTACTAACAATAACATTGCATAACATAGGCCTAACGACTTACACGTTCTCAAAATCGATAACTTTTTAAGCCATGCATGCGATCACATTAAAGTAAAGATTCATTTTTGCGCTGCCATGTAGGGTCGAGAGATCAATATTTGCAATATGACATGCTAGTTTCTTAATTTAGAATATGTGTTAATTAGTTAGTCGATGCTGTTGATGGGTATGTGGTCGTCTGCCAGTGACATGTTCTGCTTAAATTAAGAATAAGTTAAGGCATTGATCTTAAGTTTCCATAGTGGTAATGGTGGGCTGGTTGACTTACTGTAAGATTGCAAAATGGAGGTGGTGTATACTTCTCTATAATAATATTCAATTTCGACCATTTTTGAATCTTTGAAATTGTAAAAAATGAACTTTTTCTATGCACAGTGACATATCTAGGCCCGAGAATTAGCATGGGCCTAGATATGCTTTTTTTGGTGGATGTGCGCCCACAAGTTCCTCCATAGATATGCCACTGGCTAACTGTCACAGTGTGCAGCAAATTCAATCGAATAGGACCGCAACCTGCTTGTCAAGGCCGCTGTCATTTTTTGACAAATCTGATCAGGTTTCCTTTGGATTTCCTAATGATTCCTAAATTTTCTTCTGAGTAAATATATGTGCTACATGTCATCATCTTCTATTTTATCTTCATTATATCATATCAGATCATGATAATGTCTCATATATTAATAATTATAATAATAATTTTCTAGTACAGTATATATGATCAGTGTATTAATACATAATAAATCTTAGGTTTTTCTAAGCACAGACTAAATACTTAGTTATATGATGTAAACATGTGATGTAAACAAAACTCTAATCTTTAAAAAATTACTTCCTGTGTTAATAATATTTTTCTAATTCAAATGAATTATTTAAAAAAAATATACTATTTCGCAGTGAGTGTAAAAAGGGAATTTCATGCAATCTTTATCATCATTAAACTACTGTCTGTTTAATAATTAATGCTTATTTTTAGACGTGACATTGACTTATCGATTCCTTAGATATTACGTGAGAAACAGACTTTAGTGAATTGCATACTGAATGAAATCATTCATTAGAACATGAAGGTATAAAATCCTCCATGTTTGGAACAAGACCTGCATCGCATGTTAATATTAGTATTACATGCAGTCTGTGCATATCTTGAGGGAATCTTGGGAAGAGTAATGAATTTAGAAGTTTACCCAAATGGCATCCTAGCTCATGCACTACTTCCTATTCTCATTGAAATCCCACAAGTCGTATGCTAGAGTCATTAAGGCTATGTCCACACTATCAAATTTGATGTCACAAATTTCTGTGATGTCCCATGATCTTCTGGACATGTTGATGACATATCCAAATATGGTCATACCACATTATTTGTAACTTAATTCTGGAAGTCATTATTTATTATAAATTATTCACACTATCAGATTTTATTATTTTAATGTAACAAATTTCTGTGCATTAAGCGCTATATAAGAACGACATATTATTATTATTTATCTCTGGGCATGATGATGACATATTACATCCAAATATGGTCATACCATATTATTTCACTTAATTCTGGAAGCATTATTTATTATAATTTGTCCACACTCTCAGATATTATGTGACAAATTTCTGTGATGTCGCGTGATACCTGGGCATGGTGATGACATGTATCCAAATATGGTCATACCACATTATTTGTATCTTAATTCTGGAAGCACTATTTGTTATAAATTGCCCATACTATCAGATTTTATGTGACAAATTTCTGTGATGTCCCATAATGCCTGGGCAGGATGATGACATATTACATTAAAATATGGTCATACCACAGAATTTTATGTGACAAATTTGTGTGATGTGCCCATGGTGTCTGGGCATGGAGATGATATTACATCTGAATATGGTCATACCACATTTATTTGTCACTTAAAATTTGATAGTATGAAGAGCTTTATATTCATGATGTCATACAGTATTACATACCATATTTGGGTTTATATACCAACTACATATAGATTCCAGGCATTTGATTGGTTAAAAGCTGGGAAATAGTTTCAGTCATACCTGGCTAACAGTTCTTTTTCTTTTGCCCTCTCGCAATTCGCAATGTAGAAAATTATGCTAAGCCTATTGTTGAGGGCGCGCTTCTACTAATTTTATCAAATTTGATGAATTGGAAGCGGCTGATGATCGCTCGGCTGCACACTGTACTGGTAGGCTAGGAATAACAATAGGCCCTAGGCTAGGCCCTAGCCTAGGCCCTAGCCTAGACTTCTTCACCACTCAAGAACAGGAAATCTATGTAGTGGTATATAAAACAAATATTTACTGGGATTTTAATCGGGTCATAGTTCAAATTATGGCCATAGTACAGCCTCCAGATCACCTGGGCTATAATTTGAACCATGCCCTTAACCCAGTAAATATTTGTATAATATGTCGCATCAAATTTCATAGTGCGATGCATGTGCCCTTGTCCATGCACCCTTGTCCATGCACCTCCTTTTTATCCATAATTCTGGAAGCAGTAATATTATTTATTATAAATTGATAAATCCTGTTACTATACTGTGTGGCATCCAGTTGTATTTGTAATATTGTGATGTGTTTTATGTCAGTTTTTCTCATGTTAATGTAACCCACACTTTTTTAGTTTAACTATAATCAACTATGACTGTTGTATTGTCTAGTTTAAAAATAAAAATTAATTAAAAAATATCTAATTTTGTTTAACTTGAAAATTTGTTTTACAAACCATTTTGATATGAATTAAATAAAAGAATGATAATTTTCCATCTGCAATTCATAAACATTATATGGCAAATATTTTATGACACATTCCTGAATTCTAAAAAAGGTATTAAAATCGAAGATTTTGCACATTATTGAATTCCAGCAAGTCGATGTCACATAAGACATGGCATTTTCACTTGCAAGTGCAATTAATCATCTTGGTTATAATTTTTTTTTAAATTTATAATTTTGTTCAGTATTAGATTCACGGTTAAGATTTTGGTTGAAAGTGTTTGTGCCTCGGCCACGGATGCAGGTAGAAAATTGCCAAATATCCAATACAGTAGTAATAGAATTAAGACATAGAGGTCTTGTATCTTAAGCCGATTAAATCTTTAGATATATTGCTTGGCGAGTATATTGAGATCAGTAAAAGTCAAATTAAGGATGTGTTATTCAAGTTGTTGGTCTAGGCAACAATTTTTCCAATTGAAATTCTTTTGTCCCAGGCCCAGGCCCATAACCAGGTTCATGGAAAAGGGATTTTTTTATAGCCTAAGTGTAACTAAGATGTAATGATAAAGTAATGATAAATACTTAGTAAACTGGTCAAAAAAGGGGTTCGGCCAAATCCAAAACCCTTCCTGGTTACAGGTCTGACCCTCACCTGTTAAGGCTACCTTGCAGCGGCTTTTTTTTGTGAGGATGCTGACTTTGGCTTTAGTTGCAGGGTACTGCTTGACCTCTATTCCTACACAATGAGTTTGGACCAATTTTTCTCTTTATGGAATGCCACTTGCACTGCAGTTAACTGCTCGGTTGATATTGTTGGCTTTCTAACAGATTCATTGAATTCTTAAGCATGACCTGTATTGCGTGACATATCAGATTCTGTTTAATATTGTTTTTCCTTTTAACCGATTTGGAATTTAATTACCTGTTCTGATTACTTGTACTGTAGTGCCAGGTTAATAAAGTCTTTCATTCTGTTTCAGTTCTCAAATTATGGTTCTGTGGTATGCATTTGATAAATATATATCCTTGCGTATGTTTTGTTGTAGAATGGCTATATTATGAAAGAAAAGTGCGAACATACTCTATGTTTGTAAGAGTCTAAAAAATCTGACCAAACAAATTGAACAGTTCAAAGATTCTTGGAAGCTGGGTACAATGACCACTGTCAAATTTCCTACACATGAACTGTCAACTTATTTTATGTGCCACCTTTCAGATGCAAGTTTGAAAGACCTTTTTTTCCTCTTTCATGATTGTATTTTATTCAATTTCTGTGACAAAATTAATAATGTACCTAAGAAAAATTATATTTTTTTTGGAGAAATTTATTCGTAAAAGTTGTTTAAAACCTTTAAGATTTTAGCAAAACCAGTTCAATGATGAAAGCGGGCAGAGTTTAATGTAACAGAGCTCTGCTGAATGGTCATATCGCACGATTAGTTTGTTGCCGGCAGCAAGCATGCTTGAATTGTCAGGCGAAAGCTGAAAGAAAAACTAATAATGATAAGTAAAAAGCTCTTTAAATACTATTTTTTACATTCACAGCATTCTGATTAAAAAATGGATGCAATTTAATATACTTGGCCTTTTATCAGGAGAATAGTAAAAAATGATGTTAAGAAAATCTGAGTTTTATCCTATTCTCATGTATGCATTCAATGAGGTATAGTGTGTTCTTTCGAACTTCCCTAGTGAATTTGATGTATTTGATAAAGGTGGCACCTTTGAAGTGTGTAATTTATTGCACATTAATTTAATAAAATTAATGTTATGGTTTGATTTATTTATATCCTCTATGGACCTATCAATTGCTACATAGTTTGCACACCTATTCTCTGATGAGAAATTGAAAAACGTTTGAAAAATAATGATTAGTATATCATTTTTACTGTTAATGCTTATTCATTTAGATCATTAAATTTCAAATATTTGTTTTCAGCCTGGAGAATATATTGTATCCTTCAAAAACAAACTCATTATTTTCACCTTAAGGTCTTTATTATTTGTTTTTTACTTAGTAATATTGTACTCCTTGTTCGTAGGATTTGTTTAAATAATTTAGAAAATTTAGTGATGGAACGAGTAGTAGTCACGTGACATTTTTTATTGAAACCCCCTCCCAAAACCTCAAAAAACATAACAACAATGATGGTATGACATTTTTTAGTTACAGTCACACAGTGGGTCAATGTCAAAGTATAGGAAAAGTAAATGTTATGATTTTCAAAACAATGGTACTGATAACATGATTATTATAGCAAGAAAAGGCATACAATTGTTAACGTCAGGCTCCGGATGAAAACAATCTTTTGATATGTTGTACATCTGATTTTTCTAAGATACAAAAAACATATTTGATGAAAAACTTGTAAGCGGTTAATGAGATACAGATTTTTGAATATTTAAAACTGGGGGAAAAGATGGAAAAAAGGTGGATACACCCCTGTCCTCCCAGTTTTTAAATATTCAACTATCTGTATCTCATTCACTGCACTTCCAAATTTTTCGTCCAAAATATGCTTTTTGTGTCTTAGATAAATCAGTTGATATGATAGCAAACCATTCTGTCATTATTCCCAAGCTTAATTTCCAACTGATTTTAAATAATTTACTAGCATTTCAACCAACATTATTCAACATCAAACAACTCACAGTCGCCATAGCTATATCCATAGTTACGTTGCATTGTTGTTTTGTTTACTCATGTGACTTTGATTGCTAAATCGATCGATTGTATACAGCAAAAATGTTTCTTCGTTTCATTTCCTCGTTTAGATAAATTACAATTTGACAGGCTGTGGTAATTGCAAGAAATTTGAGAACATGATTCTCTCTGATGGCAACAATAGACCAACTACTTTGCTTAAGTTTGACAATAGCAAGATATTGTTTGTTATGATTCTGATGAAATACAGTAGTAACATAAAAGAAAAAGGTCAATATTACTCTACAATATTCATTAGAACTAAGTAAAAAATGTTTTAGTCTATTAGTTTTTATGCCCTGCAGAAGAAGTAATTTGTTATAAAATCCAGTTTAAAATTGGATAGCATATTTTATCATCAACAATGTAAAATGTTAACTATGTTATAATTATGATTCATATTACTGGTGGAAGTGTCATTGATGGGATATTTTGTAATAATGATACAAATTTTCATTATAATATTTGATTATATTTGTATAGTAGGGCAGAAATAATACCATAGCAGCGTTGTATGGACTAACAGTACTTTAGAAAAATCTACTATTCTACAATAGAAAATATTACATAGCATAAAAAAAGTTAAATGTTTTTCCATATTTAATATTTTTGCACTGTTTTCTAATAGATATGTTCAATAAGCACCTAATTTGCTCTTATTCTTCCTTCTAGTATTTTAATATTCCCTAATTTATTGATTCATTTTGCAGTTTATATTTTATTATTGTTAATGCTAAAAAATGTTTGTTTTCCCAATTTGTTTTAGCGTCATAAATGCACAAAAATAATACTCGTTTTTTTTGTACTAATACATACAAAGAAAGAATGAATAAAAGAAAACAGACTCATAATTGGAATGTTAAAGTACACGTGTGCTTTCTATATATAGTTGAACCATACAAGGATGATGCCCGATGCAGAATATTACAATGGCAAACAAACAATAAAACCATAATTAGTAAAAGATAACGATGGCTTTACGTCACATGTTCCCATTATTGCTGATGAACCTTCCAATCATAAGTACAATTTATTATTTTCTAAGTCATATATCCGTCAAATTTTATATAAATGAGCTGGGAGTATAGCGTAATTGTTCTTTGGATAATGACATATATAATGGAAATCCAAACACAGATCGTTATCAATATATGGATGGCTCAAGTCGTAAAACTGATGTACATTTACTTTCCTGTAGGTCTACTATGAATTTGTATATCAGCGTCATCAATAAAATAATTAAGAGTTTAAAAGAAATAAATTCTTTGGATAATGCTCTGTTGAGCTGAAATCTATCCTGTACTGTTCCTCCCAGCTCATGTACTGTACCTCTGACTAATCATCAGTACTCTGTTTTAAGGCCAACTCAGACAGCGTCGGCCTACGCAGCCCGACCCGATTTATCGTCGGGGACAGTCTTGAGCAGTCGTGAGAAATATTAAAATAATACTTTATTTGAAAAACTACGCCTTTCCATCAGCGGCAAGATGTGTATAAGAGACAGCAGCTGGATCATGCCTTAAGTAATAAATAGTGCATTGATAATTTATACTAATAATTATTTTTCCTTTACATATTATATGTAATATACGTTAATGTATAACAAGGAATAGTGCATTTAATTTTAAAGTAAATATCAGAAATGTAATTAGTTAATAGTTTTAAAAAAATATAGCAAGAAGTCATAGCAAAATAAAATGTATTCCCACCGGCATAATAGTGAATGAGAGTAAAGGCCAACTCAGACAGCGTCGGCCGACGCAGATTTATCGTCGGGGACAGTCTTAAGCCGTCGTGAGAAATATTAAACATGTTTAATATTCTACGATGCGACTGCCCCCGACGCACACCATCGCGTCTGCGTTTAACTCACACAGACCCGACGCGACAACAAATCGCGTCGGGCTGCGTTGTACGATGCTGTCTGAGTTGGCCTTTATACTCCCCCTCTACTCTTTCGTCTTTCTACTCTACTTCCAATCTCATCTCTTCTGTTTGCTTGACTTCTATTCTTTTATCAAAAAGCTTCCTCTATAGCTCTTTTGCAAAGGTTGAACAGTCAACGGTGCAGTGGCTCATGAAGTTTGCAGACCGGGAGTCCGACATATCCCCGACGGCGGGGTGGGGGGATCCAAGGTCCAGGAATAAAAAATCCCTGGTAGAGTTCACAAGGAGAGATTTTATGGCTAAGTAGGTGGCCCAAATTATTTTTTTAGCTACAATATTAGGGATTGACAATCAAAATAATGTTATTTGGGGGGGGGGGGGGGGGTTGTGGGGAGCAAATTCTACCTGTGCCCCACTCGTGCCACCACTGTAGACAGGGCCATCCCTTTACCCTACATGAGCTAAGAAAAAAAAAGAAACTTCACGAAGATACCATCCATTTTGATAAAATTTGTATCTATACACAAACACCTTGAATGACGTTTACAGTGAATAGTGCATCTCCCTGACCCACTGTTGATAAGGAGGTGTTGTATGCATAGTGGGGTGGGGGCGCTATATTGTCTACTGCTAGATTGCTCTGTCAACCTCAGTAGCATCTTAAGATTCCATAGTGATACAGTAATTAACTAAATACACTTAATAGTTTATTAACAAATGTCACAATATTATGTTGAGGGTTAAAAAAAATGATAACCTTTGACACGTAGTTGATGTTGAAAAAAGGACCTCAATGAATTATGTCGTGAAATGGTTTTGAAAAGGTCACAACGCCATTCAGCGCCTTTGTACAGATTGCAATATCATTGAGTAAAATCATTCTTCTAGATAGGCTCACTAGTCACGCATTCCTTGGAGTATGCTAATTACAACAGACTGGATAAATGGATGGAAAGTGTTATGTCATTTGTCATCAACATTCTATACTTCTTCTCAACTCTTTTCTTTAAAATTAATTTTATTCACTGTCTTACTAGTTAAATTTATTCATGAATGACCTCGTAAGACAGATTCATACCGGGAGCTAATGGCGGAACAGTAAAGCTTCAGGCTTCTAAACGAAAGGTTTTTGGGCTTAAATCTGAGGGTGGTTCTTAATTATTTGTGTCCACATTATACAAGTTGTCCCTTGCCACCTTGTGGTATAATACATTAAAATCCCGATGCTGCAACATTAGGTAAACCTTCCCGAAGGAACTCCGTAGGTGTTTGATTCGTTGAATGGGGTAAAAATGTGAGGCATAATGTCTCAGCATGATGTGCTTTATGCAAGAAGACTGACAATACCATTGTTGTTATTCATATATTCTTATTTTGCTGAATATGAATATTATTTTTGTTATTTATCACAGCCTTATTAGATAATAAAATTATTTTTTGGCATGTTTGTACTATTGTTATTTTTATCAAATATTTACTAAAATAGATTTTGTATGTTAATAAAAACAATTTGTGTTAAAATTTTCTTCAGAATTTATTATAAAGGCAAAGTAGTTAAATTGTGATGATACCAAATTTTAGGTCAAAAAAATTTTTTTAAATTAAAATTTGCTATAATATATAAAACTATGGGAATTTCTGTTATTTTTTATATTCATGTGTCGTAAATATTTTCTACAAGTCAGTACTCACATTTGATATTAATATTTGACTACCATAAGGCATCAGGATATACAGTAATTTAAATTCTCTTTTTTTTATATAAAAAAAATCTGTTCTCAATATATTTTATTGAATCTCAACATATGTTGAGATTCGATAAAATATATTGAGAACAGATGACATATTAAAATATTCTTGTTTGGTCCAATGTAAGTAAGTGTAGATTATGAAGAAGGTTATTGTTAATGAACTTGTATTTTCAATCTGAGGAATTTGTCACTAAAGAAATACTATATTTTAATAATAAAATTAAGTGTTGTACTGTACTGTATGTTGGATTTGAACCTGGACATCATTTGGTGATGTCTGGAGTCATTTCAACCATAATTTATCTTCATAGCATACGGTAAGCCATGAGTATAATTGTATAGTTTTGATTGGTCCATATACCCCTTCCCTTGTATTAGAAACTATCCAAATGGTTCACCATGTTTCAGCTTCTGGGGGCCTAATTTGCCTCTTGACCCAGGTTACAACACCTCTAATGGACCCCATCGCATCGTGGCACCGCCGCATCCCCTGGTCTTTAGGCTGTCACCACTAAGTAAAATAAGAAAGGATGAAATAGGTATGGTGAAGTACATCAGTACAGTATGCACTCAATCTGCTTTATTACCACCAGGCTAGACGACTACTGTATGCCTTCTGTTTATTTAAATTTGATCAGGTATTGTACTTTCATGTAGTTTATATAGTGCATTCTATTATGTATTGTGTTCTTATTTACAAGAAACAAATTTGTTTTTTCTGCCTTTTATGATATGTGACTAGAAAACTGGAGCAAGAAGTGTGAGGCATTTATAGCAAGAAATCTGTAGCATGAGTTTGTACTTGGAAACAAATTGTAGCAAGTGTATCAGAGAAAAATGAAATATGCTTATAGGCATACCATCATCTTGCTGTACTTTTTTATTATCTCTTAATAAAATGGCCATTATTATTAATTGTTATTTTATCTTGACATAGTATATCAATTAACCTTTGTGACATAGGCCTACATTTGTCTATTTCTGAAAAGCAAAACAAAATTTAGGGCCGAATCAACATAGGCCTTCTATAAGTGAACTGCACTGCTTCAAGGCATTTGATAAATAGCATACTTGAGATGCACTTTCGATGGTATTTACTCTCACTAGTTTCATAATCAACATTAAGATATACTGAAGATGTTCGGTTGATTTAAAAAATGTAAAAGTTTCATGAAGGGGCCTCCATGGTACCAATAGAATTTTATTCACATATTCTCATCCTGGTCGAATGTTTGAGCATTTGTTCTACTTGTTAAACTGCTTGTTGTAGGCTACTACTGGAGCCTGTATGATATGGAGCAATGTACTTTGCATGTGAAGTGGCATGCAATAAAGATAATTTACAATTTAGGCTTTGGTTTCATGCAGTGCTATTAAATAATGTTAAATTCTAATCGTATGTTGGTCTTGTACACGTGGTGTAGCACGTCATAATGGTGACACTGATTTTTTAAACTTCTTTTACTACCCCTTGACTTGCCTTAAGTACCATATTGATTTTTTATATGTTTATGTCAAAATGAATAAAACAAATAAAAACCTGTAATATATAATGCCAAGTCCTATATTCATCATTTCATATTAGACCAAAACTGGCTCAACTTTGACCAGACCAAAATGTTAAAATTCTAGGGTTGACATAATTTTTTGGGGGATCAAGGGTGTGGGTGCACATGTTGCATCAGACGAGGGTCATTGACTCAATTTTAGGCCCAATAAAAAAAATTATTAGTTTATCACCCTCGCGCGCATGCCTTCTATGGTACTAGAAAAAAAAAAAATTGAAAAAAATAAAAAAAATAAACATTTTTTTTTAAAATTTATATTTTTAATTTTATTTATTTATTTTTTTTCATTTATTTTATTAAATAGTTAGTAGATATTGTTTGCATTATCTAAATCATGTTTTACTTTGAATATCAATGCACCAGCAAACAAACCAAGGGTTATATTTGGCTTTAGCAAAATAAAAAATAAAAAAAAAAACCTCCGTACCTCCCTCATCACTTTTCTTGCCCAGATAGGGTGATAAACTAATAATATTTTTCATAGGGTCTTATAGACTATAATGCAATGAAGCATGAACGTCAAATAATGTTCAATGTTGCTCTGTTTAGACCATTATTTACATTCACCATACAGCATCACATTCCTTAAGCATTCACACAGAGGGAAGATGGATTTTTTGGGTAATTGTCAGCTGAAACACTGTGGGCCTG